TTTCAAATTATCCAAATCCTCTATTTGAAATCAAGCTATAGCCATAGTTTTATTTCACCAGTTTATTCTTCACAAATAAGATGTTCTTTAAAATAGTGAACATGAAAGTATTTCATTCAATAAATAAAGCAAATTACTTACCTATAATGCTGGTTCTGTAACAAATAAAAATCAGGTAATCAGATAATCAATAACAGAGCTTAACCTCAGGGTAAACAATTCCTGACAACTGAGTCCCCAAGATCTGCTCCATGAGGTTTCTCAACATAGAAACAAACCCAAAAGTCCATGAAATAAGTCCTCACTGGATGAGGTAACCAAGTATAGTTCAAACTAGTAATTAAAAGATAGAAGTTTGATCCTATTTAGTAATTCATTATGTTACTTAAAATTAATAATCTAAAAATCTTAATTACGAGTTAGGAAATGGGGACTGTATAACGGTACCTATCCTGTCTACTTTCAAACTGTCATGATAGTCAAATGAGAAACTAATGAAACTGATTTGTAAAATTACGAAGCACAATACAAATGTAATCTTATTCAGGGCAGGATGACTCCTCTAGTGATTTTTAAGCAAGATTCTGGAGTTTTTCTGGTCCCTTGAAAGAAATTACTTTGACCAACCGTAAAAATAGACTCTCAATAAGTAAATCTCCAAGAACTGATTAAGATTTTCTCTATGCAGCTTCCAAAATTGATGAAAATATCAAATGTTTGTTTAATCAACTATGAAATAAGCATGGTGCAATAGAAGGACATATTATAACTATTTACTATCATTAACATTTTCCAAAAACCAAGTTTAACACTACAATTCTTAGAAACTCTTTAATGTGGCTTGAAAATAATACTCTCACCTGCAGAGTACCTGAGCAACACTCTTAGATGAGCGATAACTATCTTACAGGTTTATTACGTAGAAACTTAAGAACTGGTATAAATGTTAGCAATCTGTTATCAATAAGTTAATCTTTGTAAGATCTCAAGAATCTAGAATCCCTAAATTTGACTTTTCACCCCCTTATCTGTTCATTAAATGTTATAATACCAACAATCCTTAAATGAAGATACCCAAGGTCTTTCAAACATAAATTTATTTAAGTAATGTTGCACAATGATAATTCAGAGGCAGCTGACCAAATCACATTTTCATTTAGAAGTTTATTTTCCAGTGATTACGTTTTGAATTGGAAGAAATGCTCTGAACATTAAAGCCTAAGACCTAAAATCTTCCACACTTGTGCTTCCTGGAGCCAGACCTTCAAAATTTACAGATCTGTTTCAGTGCTCCTGTTTCAAAAATTAGCAAGAGGTCAATTCCCAAACAGAAAAGGCAATCACAGTTACGTAAATAATCTCATTCAGGGAGGCTATTTAAGCCAAAAAAGAAGTTATTAGGTACTGTATTATCTACCACTTTAACAGATTCTATCAACCCTGAAGATCAAAGAGCTTTCAGATAAAGAATATTTCTTTTGATCCTCCACCCCTAATCTTTCAGAAGTCATGTCTAATAAAATAATCCACAGATGGAATCTTGCCAGAGAAAAAGATATTCTCTGGTCCCTTTCTCACAGTGGGGTTCTCCATTTGGAGAAATATATAAAAGAACACTGTGAATTTATGCGCTAGAGAAGAGGGATGGCATCTAGACAGGCATCAAGCTAGTACCCGGAACATCCACAGATTTGTTTCCCTGGTCTATTGCCTAACTTATCATAAATTACATCTAAGACTAAGACTCTACACAATACTTTTGCAAACATTTACAAGTAATCAGATGACCTTATATGGGATATCTTTGCACACAAGACAGATAAACTATAAGCTGAACACTAGGATAGAAGGCCGTTGATCACTGTTAGCTTAGAGGAAACATTTCAACTAGAGTAACACAGAGTTATGTCCCCCTGGCTCTAGACAAACAACTATGCCATGCTCAGAACTTTCTGTTAACAACCTACTTTTAAAACTGGCTATCAGGAAGTATTCATTCCCTACTGGTAGAGATATTCATATTTAGGCTGGGCAATGCTCAACCTCGGTTTCAAAAAGCAATTACCTGGAGAACTTTTCTAGCATAGGGAGAATAAGGAAGTGAAGTAACATTTGACAAGGTATGTACACGTGTGTACAGGACAGTAATAAACCATCTCCTTCAAGTGCCTTTTTTTAAACCCAAGTGCTTTTTAACATCATTTTCAAACTGCCAGAAATTTACTTGAGACTTGAAAGCACTAGACAGATGTCATGATGCTATTTTTAGCAATGGCAACTTGGATTAAAAAGAGCCAACATTATATCCAACCATCTCTTGGCTCTAGACAAAAAGCATAGGAATGAAGGTATAGGGGAGGAAAGAGAGACTTTACTGAAAGAGATTAGATCTGACATGATCAAACACCCTCTCCCAATTTTCCTTAAATTAGCTCTGAGATGCTAATCGTGATACTCCATCTCACTTCTGATTTGCCTCCTTTGAAAAAAACAAAAAAGATAACGTTTCAAAAGTGCTATCCTGGCCTGGTGCAGTGGCTCGTGCCTGTAATCCCAGCACTTTGGGAGGCCAAGGCGGGCAGATCACTTGAGCCCAGGAGTTCAAGATCAGCCTGGACAACATGGCGAACCCCTGTCTCAACTAAAATTACAAAAAATTAGACAGGTGTGATGGCATGCACCTGTAAGCCCCAGCAACTCGGGAGGCTGAGGTGGAAGGACAACCTAAGCCTGGGAGGTCAAAGCTGTGGTGAGCCATGACTGTGCCACTGTACTCCAGCCCAGTTGATTTAAAAAGAAAAAAGAAAAAAGAAAAAAAAAAGTGCTATCCTTCAAATGATCTGGAGCAAGGCAAAAAAGCAAGAATCAGTAATTTGTTTTCCCCAATGTCACCCAATGAAGCATTAATTTGAAAACACTGTCCTAACAAAGCAACTAGCATCCAAATTCCAAAGGACTCTCTATATCTTAAGGAACGCATGAAAAATAAACATATAAAAGCACACTATATTAAACGTATAAAAGCACCCATTAAGCTGTATTGTTCTCATCCTCAAAGGGTTATGAATGTGGAATATCAATGTTATGACTGTATCTTTAGATAACTGTTTTATGTGAACATCATCCTTCAGAATTATCATCAGGCAATCTCTTACAAAAAGTAATACTGTAGTGAATTACTAGAAAAAAAATTTCCACAGTCAATAACCAGTCAAGATTAAAACAATAAAAAGCAAAGAACAGAACATATATCATTTTATAAAAATTCACATTTCTTTAGTTTTTAGTATTTTCCTAAGACATATGCTCTCCTTCCCTGCACTGCAGATAAACAGGCCTACCTTTAAAAACTGATACTAGGCCAGGTGCAGTGGCTCATGCCTACACCCAATACTTTGGGAGGCTGAGGTGCGAGGATCAATCGAGCCCAGGAGATTAAGACCCGCCTGGGCACCACGGCGAAACCCTGCCTCTACAAAATACAAAAAAATATTAGACAGGCGTGGTGGCATGCGCCTGTAGTCCCAGCTACTTGGGAGGCTGAGAAGGGAGGATTGCCTGAGCCCAGGGAAGCCAAGGTTGCAGTGAACCATGATTGCACCTCTGTACTCCAGCCTGGGCGATGGAGCAAGATGCTGTCTCAAAAAAAAAAAACTGTTAGTATATATGAACAGCAGAACTCAACTTATTTCTAATACAAAAAAAACACTTCATTTATGAGTTGTTCTGCTATCTAAAATTGGACTTCAAATATTCCAAATACTCGAGACTCTAACATTTTCACAAAATTGTAAAATGCTCAGATGATATGAACTATCAAATACAATATTAAAATAGTATTTCAAAAGAGCAGAAGAAAACTTTTCAGACGAGAGGCCTACGCTGAAAGATCACTGTATTACCATATACAAATCTAAACTATCTACAATGCATGGCAAAAATAATATTATGTCCCCACAACCAGGATTTGATACTTTGATCTGACACATACCAGGGTCTGGCAATTGTCACAACAAAACTATTAGAAATGTTCCTCAAATCAAAGTATTTATGTACAGTCTATATAATCTGATTGTGGTATTAATTCAAAAGCCTACCCTGTAGGAGTAAAGGTAATTAACTTATTACATAAGTCTGTCTTTTACTGTTGCTAATCATGATATTTAAGAGCACTGTGTGTTATAGTTCCTTTCAGGATTATCTAGACATAGCAAGCTCCAAATCTTTTGTGTTACGGCCCCGAATATAGAAAATCTAAGCAAGTAATATTGTGAAAATTTTGGATACAGAATTCTTTATTTAAAACAGTGACTTAGCAAGGTTGAGAGCTGGTAATATTTTAAGATACAGTCTTCCTTTATATTTAGTATCAGGAAAAGCTACATCAAATGTTTTATGTAAACTATCCAGTAGACTAACTCTTGCTAATATGTTAATTACAATATACTGTCATAGTGTTAACAGTAATATCCACTTCTCTAAGTCACAAAAGTCAAAGATGATGCATAAAGCACATTTTTTAATAAAAAATTTTAATTGAGAATTAAATGTAAGTAAGATATAAGTAGATATCAAGCCTGCTAGACTCCACATATCTGGATGATATCTAAGCACTCATTAATTGTTCTATGCTACCTAGAATTATAAATCAAAGCATACTGCGGTAACTCGATGTGTTTCCATTTTATAAATTAACTAAAAATGATATAAAACATATTAAAACACAAAAACACTAGCAACCATGTCTTTTCTAATTGAGACAAGAAATATCAGAACTGGAAAGACCATGCTGTCATAGAACACGTGTAAAGTTGAGTTTAAAAGTCTTTTTTTGGAGTTTTTCTAAGAGTTGAGAAAATCATGTTAAACCTAAAATTTTAGTGAAAACATTAATTTTAGCTGTAATAAAAACACTATGAATAGACATTTATGAACAGATACTGAAAAACTTGGGGAATAATAAACAAAGCAGAATTCATGGTTACCATATTTACACATACTCTTTGTTGTGTTTCAGTGCCACATGATCTGATTCAAAGTAATAAACATCAGGATCATCATCTTCCTCTTCTGTAATGTGCTGACTGGCACTCTCTTTGGCAGATGGCAAATGTCCAATATTGAGTCTTGCCTCTGAGGGCAGTTTACTTAGTCCTTCACTTCCACAATTTTGAGAGTCACAACATATCCCTTCTTCATTTTGAGAAATTTCACCAGGATTTGTGGGAGACTGACTTACATTATCACTAACAGTTGCATTTGTTTCATTAGGACTAAGATTATTCTCCTCAAATTGTCCATTTTCTCTGTAAGGAGAACTGTTTTTAGTAGGACTACCTCTGGTAGGGGCTGCCCTTCGTGGTGAGGTTCTCAGAGTATAACGATGTTCTTGAGGTTCTGATAAAGACATCATTTGAGCTGAAACACAGTCTAGAACAGAAGATGGTTCAGGTTCTCCGGAGGCTGGCATACTCTCAAGACTTGTGTCCAGGTTGTTACTGGTGTTTTCTTTACACTGCTCTTTTGAGGCACTGCTATCTCCCACCACATCTACTTCCTCCTCAGAATCCCTTAAAGATGACTGAGTTTCAGAAAAGGGCCCTGCAGCTGGCTCAGTAGTCAGCTGATTAACATGTTCCACAGGCAGGCAGGCAGTTACTATTTTGTGGTCCTCCAACTTGACCTGCACTTGTGAATTTGTGCAAGGCACGTTATGGTCTATATAACTGTCCTCCTTCCTACTATCAAGGAACATTGAAGTTTGGGTATCCAAATCCCCATTTTCAGCTACTGATTTTTCCTGTAACACATAGGAATCAAGGCTATTTTGTTTAGTGTTCCCATCAGGCTGACAGTCATCACAGTTTATAACAGCTGAATCACTGTCATCGACACCATTGACAGCCAAATAGCCTGTGATTTCTTCAACTACTGCAGAATTAAGTGGCCCTTCCTCACTGACATTCACCTTTTTAATTTCCCTTTTCTCACAATCATCCAGTATAAGACATCGACAAGCTCGTTTAGTCCCTTGAAAATCTGCATCATTGTCCACTACTGTACTCCTCTGTTCTACTGACTCCTTGTCTGATTTTATAGGTGAATCTTCTTCTGAACTGTTTGGTGCTTCAGATCTAAGACAACGCTTAATTCTTTTTAAAACTGGTGAAACAGGTTCTGTTTGCCTTCTCTCACAATTTTCTATAGCCTGCCTTTCTATGTTATCCTTTTCTGAAGAAGAAAGTCCTCTTTTCCTAGGGCTTACCCATGATTCTCGGGTACTCTGCTGTTTTAAATCAGTGGTTCTCCCATTATTATTTCCTTTCTGAATTGGCACAGGCTCTGGTCTCTTCTTTGGTGATCTTGATCGTACTTGAGAATTAGAAGAGATTTCTTCAGGATGCGCAATGCTACGATTCCTTAAAGTTCTACCACAAAAAGATTCATCCAAGCCGTTTAACCCCACTGTTGATCTTGTAACACGAGTAGATCGGGAAGCAGCCATACTATGGCAAGTCCCTACAATACGGTCATCATGATCCACTCATTGGGAAACCTTCAAAAATGTAAACAAAATAATGAGAAAAAGGTAACAGTTAATATACCTAGAACGAAAGTATAAAGCTATAACTTTTTTAATCCAAGTATACTCGGACGTTATGGTCTATATAACGGTCTATATAACTGCCAATATTAAATTATGTGACAAAAATTCTTTAACATTTCCAATAATGATATAAATTATAGCTAACAAGTATACAGCACTTAATATGTTCCATGAGTCTTTCTATATAACTTACATATATTAACTCACTTAAGTCTCATAACAACTCAGATAGGTACTACTATCATCCCTACTTCACGAGTAAGATTAAGGCACACTGAGTAATCTATCCAAGATCACAAGTCTAGTAAGTGGAAGGGCAGGACTCTAGAGACCATACCTGCCTCAATGTGTATTTGCCTCTCAGATAGGCATAAAATACCCAGAAAATATCTATCCTAAAGATGTGATTTCATTTTGGTCATTAAAATAATAATCTTCGGCCGGGCATGGTGGCTCACGCCTGTATTCCCAGCAGTTTGGGAGGCTGAGGCAGGAGGATCACAAGGTCAGGAGTTCAAGACCAGCCTGACCAACATGGTGAAACCCTGTGTCTACTAAAAATACAAAAATTAGCCAGGTGTGGTGGCACACACCTGTAATCCCAGCTACTCAGGAGGCTTATGCAGGAAAATTACTTGAACCCAGGATGCAGAGGTTGCAGTTAGCTGAGATCATGCCACTGCACTCCAGCCTCGGTGACAGAGCAAGACTCCGTCTCAAAAACAAATAAAATAAATAAATAAATAAATAAATAAAATAATAATATTGAACCTATATAGCAGCTATCTTTCAAAAACTATTCCAATCATTTCTCGTGTTCTTTCAAAATGTCCCTGGTATATAGAAAGGCAGGCTCTCCTCTTTTTAATTTACTTTTGCCAAAATGAGTTTCAGATCAAATCCCTTAATAACTAATAATCTGGCATCCAAAAAATTTTGCTTGCAGTATTTTTCATAACTAAATAGATAAAAATCAAAATGCTAGCTTGCATTGGCTAAGAACAAAACAAAGCAAACCCAAGCCTTCCTGGTCTCTAGAAATAAAGCCATAAATTAGTAGGTGAAAGGTACTGTTCCAAAGACCGGAAAAATGGGAAAGAAGCCTCTGAAGCAAATACTTACATTTAAGAAATCAAGACTACTCATATAATCCCACCCTTTCCTTCTTCGCACTCCTGTGTATAGCATATGCCAGTGCCAGTTTTAATGTGTGGTTTGGGAGATGAAAAGGTATTCTGGTGTGGATGCTTGAGGTTTACATGACAGAAATGTAAGCGATATAGAAAAATGCCTGGATTGATCCATTTGGGTAAACTAGTGAGTTGGTGATATTTTCCAGAGGCTCTCCCATCAAGCAAAATAAAGGAGCTGTTAACATTTGAAGTCTCTATTCCCCTGCTCCTCTTCTGTTTAGTTTTCACAAAGTACCCTGTCATTTTACCGCCTAACTTTGAGTGAGATGCAGGATGATTAGTTAGAGAAAGAGGGCAGTGGTGGCAATAGTGCAAAGTTTCACAGTCCCTTCCTCCTGCCTTTGGTCATCAACGTCTCCCTTCCCATGTAAACCGCAAAATGCCATTCTGACTCCTTTCCCTAAAAATCAAACACAATCTCACCTTTGCTTCAACAAGAAGTATCTAATAGTGGAAAGGCTGGAAGAATTACAGAAGACACAGCAACATGCTACCACATATAAAAAAGAAACACTAAAGGAAATAATCTCCCTGTTCCTGCCTGCTGACAAGTGAGAAAGTACCCTGTAAATATTTAAGTTGGCTGAGTTTAGTGTTGTCTCAGAGTATGGCATACTTTTAAATTTTTAATTAACAATTTTTTAATATCTTGTAAGAATCACAAAACCAGCCCTGGAATTAAAGCATGGTTATTTGTTCTAGAGAATTTCATAGCAATCAAGTGAACAATAAGTACGAGACACCAATCAGAACTTAGAAACACATTTCTTACAGTAGTAAACTTTTACTGTTTTGGGGATTCCTTAAAAGAACTGCTGACATTTAATTCTCATTTGCTAATATATTATCATTAAGATTACAATCTTTCTGTTTTTTTCATGGGTAACAAACACTGAGTGTCCCATAATTTTCCACTTTTAGTTATAAAACATTTAAGTTAAACTTCAAATGATGTTTTAGAAGAACACAAGCTGGCCAGGGACAGTGGCTCATGCCCGTAATCCCAGCACTTTGGGAGGTTGAGGCAGATGGATCACTTGAGGTCAGGAGTTCGAGACCAGCCTGGCCAACATGGCGAAACCCCATCTCTACTAAAAATACAAAAAACTAGTGGGGCACGGTGGCACATGCCTGTAATCCCAGCTACTCGGGAGGCTGAGGCAGGAGAATCACTTGAACCCAGGAGGCAAAGGTTGCAGTGAGCCGAGATCACGCCACTGCTCTCCAGGCTGGGCAACAGAGTGAGACTCTGTCTCAAAAAAAAAAAAAAAAGAAAAGAACATAAATTGAAATATATGAAAAGCAACTTATTTGTTTCATGTATCCAAATCTGGCACTCTAAAATGTTAAGATTACTTATTTTTAAATATTAAATATGTATGTAAACACACAAAAAAGCATAAGACTAAGTTAATTTAATAAATAAAATGCTTACGAAATCTAATCCATATTATCTTTAATGCAAATTTAATTATACTCATAATTTATGGTTCAAAAATAATACTGGCAATAGAAATACTTTATAAACACACAAAAGAATCTGTTAATCTTTACTTTTCAAAATGCAATCCCAATTAAGGGCCTATAAACCTCTTAAATTATTCCAATAATCAATAATAAGACTTCCTTAACCTTTTCTTTCCACACCAATCTGAATGGGAGCAAAATCTGCCTTGCAGTACAAACTTCTCAAAGAGAGACTATTTTGGATGAAATGAATCTATTATTAGTAGTACTAAGAACCTGGTTTTTATACATATATTTTTTGCTAAAAATATCACCTATAAGCTGGTCATGGTGGCTCAAGCCTGTAATCCCAGCACTTTGGGAAACCAAGGTAAGTGGATCACTTGAGCCCAGGAATTCGAGACCAAACTGGGCAACATGGTGAAACCCTATCTCTACTAAAAATACGAAAAATTTATCCAGGTGTAATAGTGCATGCCTGTAGTCCCAGGTACTAGGGAGGCTGAGTGGGAGGATCACCTGAGCCTGGGAAGTCAAGGGTGCAGTGATGTGACTGCCCTTCAGCCTGGGTGATGGCAGCAAGGCCCTGTCTCAAATGAAAAAAAAAAAAAAAAAAAATCACATATAGTGAGGCCTATCTTACTTCTTCACCATTCCACTGATTAAAATATGAAAACACTGATTAATATGAAAGTTAAATAAAATATGAAAACACTGATTAATATAAAAGATTAAGTCTCTTTTCATTTCTTCTACACCCTAAAAATGCTTTCATTTCACTCAATAACTAGAACAAAGCCCTAGTTTTAGGATTCTCAAATTCTATGCTATTGGGCTGTATTGAAAGAGAACTTGTTTTATAACAAGGATCCTTGTGGTACCTCAGACTCTTGCAACTCAATCATGGGCATCTCCTGGAAGCTTGTTAGAAATGCAGAATATGAGGCCCTGCCCCAGACCTACCAGTGAATTAGGTTCCTAGGTGACTCATATATGTATTAGGGTTTGAGAAACACTGCTTTAGGCTACTGAAGTCAGACAGAATTCTACTAAGAGTCATCAAGTTTCAAACTAAATTAGACCTATTTATAATATATCCTTTAATTTCTTACTGGATCCTAATTAAAAAAAAAAATACATAAGGCCAAGGAAGCACCAAATGGAAGACTATAAAAATATCTTGCCTGAAATTAACATGTGATGTGCACTTGAGGTAATAAACTGGTTAAAATTATTAAGATCAGAGTTAAACAAAATTTTGCTAATCTTCCCTCTGATGAATTTTTTCTGTTCTAATCTTTTTCTTCTTATCTTTTCTATTTTGGATAGGCATATATAAAAGGCACATACTTTCTATGATCATCTAATAAACTGAATGCAAAATTCAGTTAATAAAAGGGGACCAAAAATGTCTACATTAGCCAGGTGCAGGGGCAGGGAAGTGGGGGCACCTACAGTCAATAGATACTCAGGAGGCTGAGTCAAGAGGATCACCTGAGCCCAGGAGTTTGAGAACTGCCTGGACAATGGTAAGAGCCTATCTCTTAGAAAATAAAAACTAAAAAGTCTGCATTATCTCAACCAAGTCTCAACATTGTTTTGTCATGCTTAGCAAAATATTATAGACTAAAGCAGTTGTTTTCCTCATTTTAGCTGCATCACAAAAAGTTTCTTAAGAATACAATGAAGCTTAGAGTACACAATTATATTTCTGCCAAATATTAAGGAATAAAAATGAACTTATTTACAAATTATCTCAGAAAATACCCCTGTAGGCTAACAAAATAAGAGGTATATGGTAAAAACCTTAGATAGCATCCATCTGAAGTTAGAAACGCAATCACTCTAGTTTTAGAAATAAGGGAAGCCATTAATTAACATATTCATATGGGCAAAACCCAATCTAACAACTACACTGGAGTTTTTCCTATACGTTATCTACCAAATAATGAATAGTGGCACTTTCTAGAATACAGAGGAAAGAGAGTGTGGTCAGTAACTAGAATTAACCAGACTCCCTTCCTCTCTTCCCCACCTTCATGAATTATCATCCTATTGGAGGTCATATCTTAGAAGGACCAGTCAACCAAATTTCAACTTGTCCATTCATATTAAGCCCTGAATCCTACCTATGATTTCACATATCCTACCCACATATTTGCTGCTGAATTGCCCTCCCATAAATTTGAATCTACTGTTACCCAAATATAACTATAGGATTCTGAAAAACACTCTTTGAAGCATTATCAGCTATGTTTCAGGTCATAAATTTCCAGCTCCTGTGATCATACCTGTAGAACTGTATCAATAAGAACTAAAAGGAATAATAATTATTAAACAAAAAAGGCCCACCTAATGACACACTTCTCTAGCTATTTACTTAAGAGAAAGAAATTTCAAAAAGATATTTCAAAGACCTTGCCTATAAGCTTTTTTTCCTACTATAATCACCAAAATGGTAAAGTTTATTTTGGGAATTGAGGAGCTGGAAATCTTCCATCACACCAATGTTCTAGCTAATATTTATTATCATAATATTTAGTTTTATTAAGTGAACAATTTTTAGTAAACTGGTCATGATACCAGTATATATTCATGTAGACAAACCAAAGGAAAAGGAAAAAAGAACAAATGCAACTGGAAAGTGTTACCAATATGATTCTTTCTCTAGTTGAATAGAATATAAACAAACTATTTAATAATGTTGAGGCCATGTTTGTCATGTAATTATTTTAAGACAATACCTCAGCAGTGCAATTACCACCATATCTATAATGTTAAAAGTAGAAGCATAACTGGTAACCCACCCATGCAATTCAACTTAAGGTTCTTAAATAGTCACCTCTTCGAAGTCTGGGAACTCTATTATGTATTGTCTTATATAAAAAGACTTCTTAATTCTTTCTCATTAAGAGAAACTGATATATGACAGATGGTCGGTAGATTGGTAGGTAGGTAGGTAGGTAAGCAGGCAGACAAGCAGACAGTCAGACAGACAAAAGTAAATGAAAACACACTTCAAAAGACAATCGGGAAAAGGAAGTCAAGGAATTTCATAATGCCTCCTGAGTCAAAAATTCCAACACAATCAGTCACTTCATTTATATGCCTGTTGAAAAAAAAAAGGGGGGGAGGAATATTTCATTCCTAATCCATTCCCTGTAGCTCCATACTCTCATAAACAGCCAGCCAAACTATAATTTGCCACACAGAGAATATATGGAAAAATAACAAATCTCCCCATCTCAAAAAAAAAAAAAAAAAAGGAAGTCAAACTATTGTTGTCTTCACTACTGCAAAACTAAATAACTTACCTGTACAACCAAAGATCTATCATTGTGGAAATATAATCTCTTTTCCTTATATCCTGAAGGAGTTGGAGCTATGATCTAGAATGGAGCTTAAGCATCAGGGTTTCAGATTCTCTCAGCTTCAGTCATGGAGAATACTAGAACCTCCTAAATTTCTTTCTTTAAAATAAAATATTGAAAAAAAAGGATTAAAGAAGATGATGAATGTATGCTAATAGATTTACTCCTTCTATAAGAAGAAGAAATAAAGGTACAGAATCTGTTCACAGTGACATCTTTCACGCTTCTTGGTAACTCCGTAGCCTCGAGGATACTAAGAAACTGAAACAGGATTTTTAGAAATCATGAAAAGCAAACCAAAAAGATCTTGAAATATACCAAATCCTTACAACTCAATATTAGCTTGAACTGAGTCAAAATGTGACTTGCTCTTTTCTAGACACTGCTCTAAGGCAGTATTTTTTGGCAGTGATCTAAAGATTGCCCTTGAAAATATTTCTCATAACAGAATTTATAATATCATCTCTTACTCTGGTCCTAGAGGACTTTCCAAATTCTCAACATCAAGTATACATAATCATTTAGGTTATGCATGAAAGAATCACACAAATAACCAAATCTTCTATACCCATAGGATAACCTGGATGCTTATTAAAGTGCTATAAAATTCAATTACAAAAGGACATTTCTATTATTTTTGGCATATGTATTTTTTACAAGAACAAGAACAACAAGGATTTTCCGGTTTTAGTACCCAATTCGCCAGATAATTTAATTAATCTAATTACATTTCATTTCTTAGAACGGTCTGGTCAATTTTTACTTTATAATAATTTATTATGATATCCTTTTCAAAGAATGTACAGGCCAGGTGCAGTTGCTCACACCTGTAATCCCTGCACTTTGGGAGGTCGAGGCAGGTGGATCACAAGGTCAGGAGTTTGAGGCCAGCCTGGCCAACATGGTGAAACCCTATCTCTACTAAAAATAGAAAAAATTTAGCCAGGCATGGTGGCATACACCTATAACCTAGCTACTCAGGAGGCTGAGGCAGGAGAATCGCTTGAACCTGGGAGGCAGAGGTTGCAGTGAGCCAAGACCACCCCATTGTACTCCAGCCTGGGCAACAAGAGCGAAACTCAGTCTCAAAAAAAAAAAAAAAAAGGTACAATCTGGCTAAATGGGTTACTATGAGTGTCCATCTGAAAACAAGGAAGACGACTTAAAAAAGACCAGTAGATGTTTATGATAGAAACTGTCACTTTATTATAAGCATAAAACTAGATATTATAATGATACATTTTGGGGGAAGTATTACAACTTAAAGACTGATATAATTACAAAATCTTGTAATGACTAGGCAGACTTACTGCCTAGTAAAAATAGGTTACTGCTCTAGTCAGCTAGAAAGGGAATAGGGCTAATAATATCTAATATCTATAGATGCCATCTCTCCCAAACACGCCTTGGAAATGCTTTAAAAACCACTAGGTAGGAAAATTGTCTAATAACCATTTAATACTACAGTACACTAAGAAAAGTTCTAAGTTAACATGGGGAGAAGCTCAGTGAAAACATGATCCTACAAAAAGTAACCCTTGACTTGAAAATCTACTCTTCTTATAACAGACTCCAAGTGACAACTCCTTTGTACCAAACACTGAAGCCTTTCACAAACATGGCAAAACATTATGTTCTACAGTGTGTGATGGTAGTAGCAATCATCAAAAGCAAAGATCATCTACAACTTAAAGTATATCTCTGAGCATACTGGAATGTGCCCTAGTAGCAGTCTATCAAGTTCTAATCAACCACATAACTACTCTATTTGAATAGAGTTCACTATAGGAACATTATCCACTACGATATTTAGCAGACAAGAACATCTGCAACTGTTATTTTCACAGAGCTGATACTTACAGCTGAGCTCTACTGGCATTAAGATAAACAGGATCCTGCAGTGTTTTGTAAAAGCCTGATACACTGAAAAAGAAACTTCAATCAATTACTTCTAACTAAACCCCACTTGGCCTTAATTAAGATTACATTATTTTCTTACCTTTTAAAAAGCGTTTCGCCTAGTATTTGATCCCCACGCGTCTGTATTTATCTGTCATCACTGTTAATTGTCCATGTTACACTGAGACTTCAGGTATTATTTATTTATATGGTCGTACTAGAACAACTTGATATCTGTGAAGGGAAACCATAATATAATCACTATAGATGTGTTACTGTTTACAAATTTGTGAATAAAAGTGGTAATATTTCCAAACACTTATATAGCACACTTCATTTTCTACTAAACTTCACAAATAATTCCTTACATTTAGCTGTGAAATATGTGTCTTCAACAAACTAAGATGATTGGCTAACACTTCCAAGTTCTTCTCAGAGAGCACCCACATACAAGTTTTCTAAATTTAATTCTAACCTTAAATCCTTACAAATTGAAGAGCTCCTCAGGTTCCTTTTCTTACTACCAAGATAGATATATGTCATTTTCCTTAAGTCTACAATTGCTCTCCATTAATACAAAAGTACTTTTTTGTGTATTTTATATTTTAGGGAATAAATCTATAATGCTTAAAAATGAAGTAAAAAAAGATAATGACTGTCCTTTAAATGTTACTTTAAACATCTGATATCTTTCTCAAGTAATCTTGGAAGTAAACAGAAAATAAGTGCTATTTAAAATAAACTGAGATGTAGCTGCACAAACATTCCTTAAAGGTAAGCTTCTTAAAACAGACTTGGTGATGATTACAACTCTGAGAAATAGATACACACACTTATAATGATGACCAAAAGCACTGTACAGAATTTTAAATAATTTTAACCAGTTTACAGGTGAAAAAAATGAGCTACAAAAGAATGTTCATTCATACATATCAAAGAAAGCAGTGTATGAATGGCATTCTAAAACGTTTCATCATGCTGTACCACTCCACTACACAGTAAAAAGTACAAATCTACATGGAAAATAGAGACAACCTGGCGAGGCATGGTGGCTCATGCCTGTAATCCCAGCACTTTGGGAGGCCAAGGCAGGAGGATCCCTTGAGCTCAGGCATTCGAGACCAGCATGGGCAACATAGTGAGCCCTCTTCTCTACAAAAAAAAATGAACAAAATTAGCCAGGCATGGTTGTGTGTGTCTGTAGTCCCAACCACTTGGGAGGCTGAGGTAGGAGGATCATCTGAGCCCAGGAGATTGAGGCTGCAGTGAGCCATGATCGTGCCACCGCACTACAACCTAGGCAACAGAGTAAACCCTATCTGGGAAAAAAAAAATTTTTTTAATGAAAATGCAGATAACCTTACACATGCTTTCTGGATAAAGTTATTAGGGTTGTCAACCATTCAGATATTCTCAGTAAGAACTTTCATTAACAATAGAGCGATTAAAAAACTATTATCTATCCTCAAATACAATTCCTTATTTGTTTTCAAACATTAAAAATACATAAGTAAAACCATAAAAAAATTAACACTTTGGGATGCCAAGGCAAAAGGATCACTTGAGCCTGGGAGTTTGAAACCATCCTGGGCAACAAAGTGAGGCCTCATCTGCACAAAAAATAGAAAAAGGTAGCCACGTGTGGTGGTGTGCACCTGTAATCCCAGCTGCTAGGGAGGATCCTTAGAGCTGCAGTGAGACCTGATTACATCACTGCATTCCAGCCTGGGTGACAAAGAAAAAAAAAAAAAACATACAGATCTAACTAATTTTTAAGTTTAAAAATTGTCATGACCTCTCTTGTACCAAAAGCAAGGAAATTAAACTAGCCAAAACTCTTGTAGCCCCTATACTGTGTTCTTCACTTCATTCAATATACATTTCAAACTTAAGCACTCTGCAAAACTGTTATATGCTTTCTGCAGCAGAAACACTTCTTTGAATTATGACAATACACAGTAATTTTTTCATTTGAATCATTTAACTACAGTAACTTACTTCTAGAAGTTTAAAAAACAGCATTTTGTCATTTAAAAAGCATCCAAAATGGAAAGCAAACTATCTAAGTCCTATTCCTAAAGCCATCTTATTTATTCCCTTGGAACAGAGCTTTGCTTGTTTTCATGTACTAATAAAATTCATTGACTATTCAAGCGTTCCAAAAGCAAACCCAAAACCAATCTTCACTGAAAGAATTACTTTTCCTACTTCTTGCAGTCTTAACACTGGTACTACTGTATTAAATAGATTACATGATCTCAGATTCACAGCACACATGTAATCACTTCAAAAGACTAAGTAAATCTCACTAGAAGATACAGCTCTAGTGATATAACCAGGATATAAGCCACACAACTTACTATTAAAATAAAACAATGATGTTCAAAGCTAACCACAATCCCTAAATTTTCAGGCAAAATTTTTTTTAGTTTTATAAGAGCTTGGAAAAAATTTAAAAGGAAGGTCATACAACAGAGTCATATTTATTACCTGATTCTTGTTGTAAGTGAAAATATCACCTATGGGCACTATACTATGATTTTAAATGATTTTATAAGAAAGAGACATTCAATTCAATGTCAGTTGTAAAAAGCATTAAGATACGGTCAAAGACACAAATACCTTTCTTTTTTTCTTTTTTCTTTTTTTTTTTTTTTTTGAGACGGAGTTTCCCTCTTGTTGCCCAAGCTGGAGTGCGATGGTGCAATCTTGGCTCACTGCAACCTCTGCCTCCTGAATTCAAGTGATTCTCCTGCCTCAGCCTCCCAAGTAGCTGGGATTACAGGCACCTGCCACCACATCCATTTAATTTTTGTACTTTTAGTAGAGATAGGGTTTTGCCACGTTGGCCAGGCTGGTCTCAAATCCTGACCTCAGGTGATCCACCCACCTTGGCCTCCCAAAGTGCTGAGATTACAGACATAAGCCACCACGCCCAGCCCAGAAACACCTTTCCTAGATAATTAAGCTTTCACAGTTACTTCCCATAAAGAGCTGAACCAAATTTTCATTTGGTACAATAATCAAAGAAGAGTACCTTTTTCTGGCTCCCTAAATTGCTCAGAACCACATGTTCAGTGTCTTGGATACTTTCTATAGATTTTCAAAGATAAGCCTATTTCACAGTCAGCAGAAAGATAGTAGGAAGAGTGTAGGATTTGGTGGAGGAGACAGAAATGTGATCCTCTGTCATCAATAATTATTTCACCAAGAGCAAGTCACTTTGCCTACCTGTGCTTTATCTATAAAACGAAAGACATAATACCTGCCTACTACTCCTCAGAGTTATTGTGAAGTTCGAAAGAGATCACATCTGTGAAGTACTTCAGGTTGCTGACTCCCAAATTTTAGTGTGTCTAAGAAATACCTGGACCCAATCACCTCTTAAATTAAGATTCAGAAGGCCTGAACACAAATGCACAAATTTTCATTGTCAATTAAGCACTTCAGGTCATTCCAACGTATGGGCTCCCAGTGATGATCACACTTTGAAAAAACTACATCAGTTTCTTCTAAAACACTATAGTGTTTGGGCTGGGTACGACGGCTCATGCTGGTAATCTCAATTCTCTAAGAGACCGAGGCAGAAGGATCACTTTGAGGCCAGGAGTTTGAGACCAGTTTGGGTAACATGGCAAGACCCTGTCTCTATAGAAAAAAAAAAAAAAAAAAAAATGCACACAATACATTAGTGGAGCATGGTGGTGTGCACCTGTTGTAGACCTAGCTACTCAGGAAGCAAGAGGCCTGGAGTTTGAGGCTGCAGGCTATAGTAAGCTATGATCACACCAATGCACTCCAGCCTGGTGAACCAAGTGAGGCCCTGTCTCTAAAAAATTAATTAATTAAAAGAAAATTTGAGTGTTCATAAGCATTAAATCTAGGTACATGTTTAAAATACAAATTTCTAGCTAGGTGCAGTCACACATGCCTATAGTCCCAGCTACTTGGGAGGCTGAGGGAGGAGGATTGCTTGAGTCCAGGAGTTCTAAGTTGTAGTGCACTATGTCATTCAGGTGTCTGCATTAAGTTTGGCATCAATATCGTGATCTCAGGGGAGCAGGGGACGACCAGGTCGCCTAAGGATGTGAGAACGGGCCCAGGTCAGAAACACAGCAGGTCTAAACTTCCATGCTGATCAGTAGTGAGACTGCACCTATGAACAGCCACTGCACTCCAATTTGGGGAAAAGAGACCCTGTCTCTTAAAAATAAAAATAAAAAATAAGAAGAAAATGAAATAAAATACAAATTTCTAAACCTCATCCTTAAAAATCCAGATTCAGGCCAGGCGCAGTGGCTCACACCTGTAATCCAATACTTTGGGAGGCTGAGGTGGGTAAATTACCTGAGGTCAGGAGTTCGAGACCAGCCTGGCCAACATGATGAAACCCTGTCTCTACTAAAAATACAAAATTAGCCAAGTGTGGTGGCGCGTGCCTGTAATCCCAGTTACTCGGGAGGCTGAGTGAGAAGAACTGCTTGAACCTGGGAGGTGGTGGTTGCAGTGAGCCAAGATCACACCACTGCACTCCAGCGTAGGTGACAAAACAAAACAAAAAAAATTCAGATTCCATAAACTTGGAATGGAGCATACAATCTTCATTTATCATCATTTAGGAGATTCAGATGTAAATGAGTTATGATACACCCTTTTAGAAATCCTAAACTAGATTCTTCCTCCTAAATATTTCTCAAATTGTTCCTACCTCTGTACTATCATCATCCATGACCAACCTTAGGCTGTCATTTGAACTAACCCAAATGCCTTCTAATTATTCTCTCTACTTTAAGTCTTTTTTTTTTTCCCTCTCTGAGACAGGGTCTCACACTCTGTTGCCCAGGCTGGAATGTAGTGGCTCAATCACTGTTCACTGCAGCCTTCAACATCCCAGGCTCAAATGATCCTCCTGCCTCAGCCTCCTAAGTAGCTGAGACTACTGGTGCATGCTACTACACCCAGCTAATTTTTGTATTTTTTGTAGAGACAGGGTTTCACACCATGTTGCCCAGGCTAGTCCTGCACTCCTGGGCTCAAGTGATCCTCCCACCTCAGCCTCTCAAAGTGCTGGGATTACAGACTGAGTTACCGCGCCCAGCTCTGCTTTCGTTAAGTCTTATCCTATAAAAATGCATGATCTACAGAATGATATGTCATTCGCCTATCTAAAACTCTTTCAAGAGACTTATGCCTCTTGCCAAGATAGAATAACAGGCATGAAACTTTTGCTCCCA